GGTTTCTACTGCTTCACCAAAGTGATTAATACATGGTGAGGTCCTCCTTGTGTTTACAGGCAGCTCTGACAGATAACAATTTGTCTTTCACTGTTACAAGTCAACAGGCTTTATTACAGCAGCTGTTTCATACTGCAGAAATGAGATGTGGCTGCTTGCCACCACATTCTCAGTAAATCAGAGCCCGAAGTCTTTTAACAGTACACACGGACGTTATGTCAATGTGAGGACACTTGCTAGCAAACCTTGAATAGGAAAACAAGGCAGTACACGGGCATCAAAACCATTGTTAGGAAATGTACATGCTGCACATTTATGGCTGAATGTGACATTGAGAGCCATTTCTTGAATAGGAAAACAAGGCAGTACACGGGCATCAAAACCATTGTTAGGAAATGTACATGCTGCACATTGGTGGCTGAATGTGACATTGAGAGCCACTTCAATTACGGCTCTATGGATGAATCCTTCACGTGTCCTTATTTCAGTGCCTTTCAACACTGAAGACCGTAAAGCTGGCTTATAGAATCCACGCACAGTGGGAATGATTAGAGATATTATGTTTTCTTACTAGAACCCCTGTACCTTCTGTTTTGTGAAGTTGCTTGCAGCTGATTAAATATAATCAAATCTCATTCTGCTTGAACTCTGATGATCCTATGGCACCAAAAAATATAATTTTAACAATGTGGACAATGAGTTGCAAAAATGATATTTATTGCCAGTGACAACATACTGTAAGTAGGTCTTCTCCTGAGGTCTGCGTTGAGGCTGTTCTCCTCGCTCGTTGTCACTTCTGTGAGCCTGCAGAATGAGCCGAGATGGAAGAGTTTGCTTGATTATAGCAGGCAGTGTACCTACCTGTTAGTAGATGCGTGAGTCAGTGCGAATTACGATAAATTGTGTCAGCAATGAAAGGCTAAATTGTGGGTCATATCCTGTTTGTCGAAGCAAGCCTGAATGGGAAGTGAGAAACGATAAATATATTGTGAAGGGCTAAAAGGGATTAGTCATATGGAAAAGGTGTTGTGATGAACATTTACGATTTGAAATTATTTGGGAATTGTTCTTGGCGTATTTAAATGGTTTTCAAACCTGATATGGATTTAAAATTGTAATTCATAGAATGGAATGCAGAGAGGTTTCCCAGTTATTAAAAAATCTGCATAAATACAGACAGGCTCATTTTGAATAGCACTTCTGCAAATTTCAGAAAGTGTCAAATGTCATCTAGACAGGCATAAAGATAGGTGAATTGCAAAATGAACTTCACAAAGGGTACAAGAGAAGAAATTCTACATGCATATGAAAATTAAATATTGTCGCTGGACATTCTACACACCCCCAGGGTTCATTTACATAAGGCTCATATTAAGAGAAGGATCAGCTGTAATCTTACACTTTATATACACCACTGTCCTCAACAGATCTAATGCAGCTTATTCAATTACATATATAATTAGTATACTGAGATGTACACACAGCAAATTCTAAAGTGTTGTTACTTAATTGCAATGTAATTCCTGCAGTGTACCCAGTGCCCCAGCTTTGATAGCTGACAAGCCAATTATATCCTGTGAAATTAGGCATTGATGTTTTCAAAGAGCTGTGCTCTTACAGAGAAAGGCTCTTTAAAGGTTCTGTTGATTAATTAGGAAGCACCATGGAGATAAGTTCGTCATTGGGCCCAGCAGTCTGGCTAATCATCAGGGGACATCCCACTATTGTGCACTGTTTTATCACATACTACATAATTAGCTCTTTGTCTTTTAAGGTCAGACCTCTGCCACATACAGATGTTGGCAGGCATGTTCACCAGAATCAGCAATCATTGCCGTGTTAAGCCCATGGCTCGGCTATGGAGATACCTTTGTTCTTTGCTGGAACAAAAACCTGCTGTTTGTTTACAAGGCTGGGGATTAAATATTAAGTTTTTTTTGTCTTCCCAGAAAGAGAAATCACTGAGTGAAATATTATCAATGCTGTGAAAGAAGTTTATTCTCTGTCTCTCCCTTGCTACTATCTCCACTTTCCATAGACCGGAGGCAACAGGTTTTTAAATTACTGCATAATATATTATCTGAAGGTAACTTGTAAAACAAATTCATAAATACGTAAATTGAATAAATTAGGAATATTGTGCAAAAAGGAGAAACTTCTAGAAGAACCATAAAAGATAATAGATGAATGGGACATTTATCATTTCAGTGGGCTTATTAAATAAGAAAATCCTAAGAAAAGAAGAAAGCAAAAACAAAGCCCGAGACTGAGTCTGAATTCAATAGGAATATGATAGATGAAGCCAAACTCTGTGTGCCGAGGGAGTGCTGTCTCAGCAGCAGATGAGCACTTGGGGAGTGTGGCACTAAGGGCTTTGCTCTGTTCCTGCTGGATTACCTGCGACTGGGGCTCCTGGCTGGGAACAGAGCCAGGGCTCTCACATTAGTACTGGTGCAGTGTGTGTGTGGTACAGTCATGCAGCAGACAGTGAAAGTATTTCAGAACAAATACTGCATGCATGCTTCTAATTACAAGTCTGGATTAAACTAAGTATATGTCCTGGAAGAGTTTTGTTTTATTAATGTATTATTGATTGATTTGGTTATGGATGAATTGTTTTCTGCACATTTACTGCATCCAGGTATGCATGCAGCTTTGCTAACAAGTTGGCACATCCGTTCAAATAGTGATTGCCTAACAAGGCAGCTGTTAACATAGAAATCAAATTCACTATACTTTGGGTTGTTGTAAGTTAAAGAGGTTAGGGCAGGGTGAATGGTACAGTACAAAAGCTGGGCTCATTCAGGAGAAGAGCCAGAAAAGCACACTGCAGACACACCTAAAAACTCTGTCCTGTAGGGGTCTCCTAGCTTTCTTGTGAGAAATGGCTTGTCAGCAAAACAAGAAGATACAGTGATGGATGAATGTTGTATCCAGGCTTACCAGAATCCAAGCTTCTTAGGTTTTTCTTATTCATCACTTGTTTTCAGCCATGTGGAAATGTTTTACAAGTAATGTCTCAAACACACTTGAACAGATGATAAAAAACAGCTCCTCTCTTCTGACCAAGCACATAAGTGTAAAGTTTGAGATTCGCAAAAATGTTTATATTCTGTTGAGCACTACATACACTCTTTTTAATAAATACAAATCCTGAAATTGCTATTACCTCTAAAAAATACTCAGTATCTATGACTAATAGACCTACCCTTATTTGTAGACCGTAACATTTGGTAACAAATACAAGTTTCATTTAAAATGGTTGATACTTATGAGTAACTCTTATTTCACAGATCTTCAAAGGTTCATGACTTGTTATACAACTATATCGCTGTTGTGTCAACTGTGACAACAGTATTGATTTAGTGAATTTGATATGAGATAAAGACATAAGCAGAACAGGCTTAAAAAATGTGGTGGCTGTTGGTATATGTGATAGTGAGTACAAGGAACAGAATTATACTTTATTCATGTACAAAACAATCCCACACCCACAGTTTGGAATCTTAGATCCAACCCAACAAGTAATGATACTACAAGGCACACATCTCTATTGTGTACTGAAAGAAGTTGCTATTTCCCATTATCTTGATTGTACTTTTCACACGGTTTCTGTGACATATCCTTGAAATTGGTGGTTTCTGACCCATCAATTCTGATTTTTTTTACGTTTTTACCATGCCAAAATCTTATCCCTTTTCATGAGTGTAGATGAAACATAATTCAAAATTCCTTCATGATGTGAAATGTCCTTGAAATTTTCCCTCCTTTCCTTTACCGCCAGTGCCTGTTTGAGTCTTGGATACCTCTTTGGGTTGTGCTTAACGACGTACAGGCTGGAGTTGTGTAGTAGACTACACACATCCGTCTATCTACTGCAGTTTGTGAGGAAGGCTGTTGTAAAGCTTACACTATACTACAATCACTTGCTGGCTTGTCGAGAGATAGAGCACAAACTTTACTTTGTGAGTGCACATTTGCAGTGTGCTTGTGATTTAATAGATTATCTTAGTACATCACATCCTAAAATTGGAAAGCAAATGTTTTTCGATGGTAGCCCTCACATTTTTAGGCAGTCCGTGAGTCTGTATTAATTAGGACTGAAACGTTCCTAAGGTCGTGAAAAGATTGTGTCATTAATTTGAAAGGGCGAATGCTGGATATTGATTTATTTGAAGAGGATTTTCTGTTATAGGTATCAGCGTTTTTATATCCTACAGAATACCCTGGACAAAATTGCTTGTCAAGCTTGTTTTTAATCCCTTCATTCTTGACTTTGGATATATAACTTTGAATGAGAAAACATGTGTAATTATTAAGGTATACGTTAATAATGGACATATATATATATTTAGACGTTATAGAAAGGATTAATCTAATGCGGGTTTTTTCAAGTGCAAAATATTATCAGTCTTACTGTAGGCATTGGTGCTGTTACTTGCTTTCTTACAGCAGTGCTTGAAAATTCTGTGAGCTGACTGTGCGTAAATCAGTCTGTACGATATTCTGCATTGCATTTCACTTGGCGCAGCTGGGAACGCGTGGTGGAAGAGCTCGCCGCTTTATTCGAAATTACTGCACTGCATTTTAAGTGAGGCTGGACTAGTGCTGACACGGGAAATTGCACAGAGCTGGGGCCGAGACGAGAAAGCTTCGAAATTAACCTTTTTGCGAGGCTACATTTCTTACTCATATACCGGACGCTCTCCTTCACTTGTGCACTTCCAAAATCCATAGATTTGTTTTTTTCCCCATTAATTATCTAAGTTTTATTAGTTTTACAGAAAAATGAGTATTAAATTAAAATATAGGCAAAAAAACTGAAAAGCAAAAAACGGCGCATAATGCTGCATGGATGCACTGTCGCTGGTGTCTTGTCGCTAGAGGTGTGATATTACTAGACGGGGTAGATGTTTAATTTAAGTAAGTGTTCAGTTTGTTAACATTTGGAAACGCCGTTGGAAGAACATATTGTCTCGAGGCGTTTTATGAAGCAAAACATAGAGTGATCATATTAAATTGTTCAAAATACAGTTGGGAGTTAAATACTGTCCTTTTTGTTTATTCGTTGATGAGAGTCAAGGTTTGGGATTTTTTCGATGTGTTCGAAGCATTAAGATAATTTGTGAACTTCAGCGATGGTTTAAATCCAGTTATCTAAGTAGTAAGGACTCGTGTCCCCACTACCTCCCTCTCCTGTTTCCATTTTCCAGGGGAGCTGAAATGCTGTCAGCACAAACCTTAGAGAAATCGTTATTCGCAAGGCCGGCTGAGCTAGATATTCAAGCCTTGATAGTGCAGTATTAAACTAGGAACTGTTTAAGAGTTGTAGACCTAGTAATAGCTGTAAAATTGACACGTTATGGATAGGCAAGTTAAGAAGTGAATAATTAGAGAAAGGCGCCTGGACCAGCGAAATGAAACATGATTTTCTTTCTTTATACTCGACTGTGAATAATGATGGTGAGACAAGTTGAAACAAACCCGAGGAAAAGCGATGTGGTGCAGCAACCAAAGGGATGATACAGTACATCCTCTTCAAAGGCAGATGAAGCTGAAAAGCACATTGGATATTATGGGGAATGGACACCGTTACAGAAATAGCAACCAAAAAAGAGCGCAGCTGCGTAATAGTGGTATGGATCCAAACCGTAACGTTCGGTACAACGTCTAAGACAGGTTTCATTACTGTCTTAAACAGTCTCGTTCATTATGAATGGAGTTAATCTATGAAATAATAGTAGTATGTTGATAATTAAATATGCCAGGTAAGAGTGGAATTAGCGTTAATGAAGGATGACACTAGTTTATTTTTGTTCTGTGATTTAAAAGGCGGGGTGTGTGGCAAGTGTCACCGGGCATCGGTTTTCTTAACAGACTCAATTTGTTTGGTTAACACAAAAAGAAACACTGTTAGAACTCGCGGTGGCCCGCTGCCCGTGGCATACGCTAGGCAGTTTGGTGTACCAATGCCCGCTTGGACGTCAAATCCACAAGTGTGGCGAGTACATCTTTGAGCCGTGGGAATAATCAAATAAATGCATGCAGGGATGAAACTTGCTATGACCTATGTGCCTGACAGAAATAAATACGGTAAAACCGAATGGTCACAGAATACAAAGTGAGTTTGTAGTAGAGTCCCCCTTGAGCGTCAACTAAGCGAATGCCGCTTCCTCCAATGCGGAGCTGGTCGCTGTCCGTAGCGCTGGTGGTGCTGAATTTGGATGATGCCTAGCCAGCGAATGCAAGGCTGCCGCTCCCTGCTACACATCAATGAAGACAATGGTCGGTTTCTCCTACTAGCGCTCCTGATTTCCCTGTATTTGTTGTGTGGCGCCGCAGTTTTTTCTGCCATCGAAAGACCCTCTGAGCTGGAAGCCCAGAGCCTCTGGAACAGGACGTTTTTCAACTTCAGCGACACGTTCAACATCAGTCTACAGGATCTGAGCTCTTTTCTCCGGGATTATGAAGCAGCGATCGCCGCAGGGATCAGAGCGGATTCTTTAAGACCACGATGGGATTTCACCGGGGCATTCTACTTTGTTGGGACTGTGGTATCAACTATAGGTAAGAGATTCAGTTACGATAAATATTTTTCTTAAAACTGATGATACGTCGTCTGCCGATTTTACATTTTTATCGCTTATTATAGAGGTCACCTTTGCTCTACCTTTCAAAACAATGAAACCCCGTAAATACTATATAAAATATATAAAAGGGTTACATCAATGTTCTGAATGGGAGTAATTTTAACACACTTCCTGGCAAACTAAAACTAAACAACAAAGCTAATTTATTGAATATTAATTTAACAACAGTCTTAAGTTCCTATAGCGCTCTTTTCTTTAATGTGTGCATTCACAGCAATTTTTAATACTGATCCTGGTGCAAAGTCGCTTAGATGTTGTGTTTTGACCCGAATTTTATTTTACTTCGAAGTACGTTAGTTCAGGATGGTACTTAATCAGTGGTTTTTACATTTTACATTGCTCTAGACAGTCTAAGTGTTGCCTATTGCGCCAGTACCCTACAGGCTAGATTCAAGTTTAAATATGTATAGTTCTAAAACACTTCAATGCAGTCTTTATTATTGCTGTTGTATAGAATAGAGTGTTTCTTAAAAATACCATGGGCACACAGATAATCCAATCAATATTCCACAAGACAGAGAAACCCACATGCATCTTCAATCATTGCTGAGAGCAGATGATCTTTTGTTTAAGGCAGTATTATTAGAGTTGCCTTAATGTTTTTTTTATTATGCTCTAAATTAGAGCAGGGCAACACTTACACGTGGTACATATAATGTTCTTTACTTAAAAGTTCTTAAAATATTCAAATCAATCATTTAATTCATTTAAAAGAAAAATGGTTTAAACTTTGCTGAATACTAGTGAAAACAGTTCTTGCATATCTGTTGTGTCAGTAGTTTCCTTGAGCCACTTCATATCATCTCTGTTCTTTAATGAAGCTAGTTTTCAACACATTTCACTGTACTATTTCAATATGAAAATTGTTTCCATTTATGTTATTAGAAATCGTATGTGTGCAGAGTAACTGAGGTACCTCCTGATGAAAAACAATAAATTAAACCACAAATGAAATGTTTATACAGGTGTATTAGTTTAGAGATTTGTTAGTAATCAATTTATTGTGTGAGCGTGAGTAAAATGCCCAATTCCAAATGACTTTAGACATTATTACTTACAATCTTTCATTCCAGAATATCCTATTATTCTTTAAATAAACTCTTTATTTTCCAATATATTCAATGACGTTGCTAATTCAAAACAGCAACAAAAACACCCTTCAGTTAAATTTATGCATTATGAGTTCAGCTTTATTGACAGTGTGTGAGGAAATCTTCTACCTGAGCTAATTATTAATGGCATAGATAACATGTAATGTATTTTATTTATAGCAAACAGAGCTACCGGTTTGCATAACCAGACCAGGGAGAATTTACACTGATAGAGACCTGAAACCCAGTTTTCAAACAAAAATCTTTGAGAAAGCCAGTAACAGTTATGTAAGTTAAAAGAATAGTGATTAAAGTGTCTTAAATTGTAAAGTTTGTTTAAATAGAATGTATTGTCTGTATCTGAATGGGAGTAAAGTATTTAATATGGCCCACATGTAGATATTTGCACACAAACACACTCTTAACTACAGATACTGTTAGTCACTGACGGGAGATCATCTGTGTTTATTACTTCATTTGTAAATATCGCACATATTCTTAGTGTATGTCCAATAGAACATTGTTGCACCATTTCTCTAATTCTGATGAGAGAGAATATTGTAAGCTATTTGTATGATCAAGTGACGCACTCACAGTGCTTGGTAGTCTAACTTTGTTCTAGTTAAGCATGTGTTCTTGCTATAAACAAGATTTAGGACATATTTATATCATCCTTAAAATGACTTTTATTCCCAACATGCATGTGCATTTATTTCTCTCGTTGTTTAATTTGCTTGTGTAATGGCGTGGATGAAAAGAGTACAAAAAAAACAAAATCTCAGGATCTGAAAGAGAAGGAGAAATTGGATAGCAATCTGAACTTTTCTATGTGGAAATGTTAGGAGTGTGCTGCAGAATCCTGTAAAGTATTCTGCTTCTCTAATTTATTGTATACAGTACACATACTGCATTACGTGTAATTACTAGAGATAATCACAGCAAGACCTAATGGACAAATTTCATTGAACAACATTTCTGTGAAAAGTAGAGAAAATGTTTTGATGGGTTGAAAGTGAGATGCAGTGGCGGAGTGGTCAGCATTGCTACATCGCTGCACTGTGGCCCTGGGTTCAATTACAGACCTAGGCTGCTGCCTGCATGGAGTTTTTGTATGTTCTTGTGGGCTTCTTCCGTGTTCTCTGGTCTCCTCCCACAGTCTAAAGTTACATCAAACCTTTAAACAAATACCGATAGGTCAGTTGGCTTCTGGGAAAATTGGCCCTGGTGTCAGTGTCCCTGTTTGAGTCCGTGCCCTGTGATGGGCAGGCGTCCCGTCCAGGGCGTATCCTGTCTTGTATCTGTCGCTTGCTGGGATCAGCTCAAAACAGTTCGAAAATAGATAGACGGATGGAAAGTTGGATAAGAACGGAATAAGAAAAACAATTCCACTATCTTTCATAAAATATATGGTTTCTTTTTCCTTAACCATCCTGGAATATATCTTTGTTACTAAACAATGGCTTTATCAGTGAAAGGAGTGTGCTCGCTTTATTTTGTTAGTTGTGTACAGAAATATGAACCCGGTAGCTGCATTGATCTTTTCCAGCACTTTTTGTTCTCTTTATATGTTACGTGGAGGCAGCAGATGCTGGCATAATGGCTCCTCATGACTTTACTTGGAATTTGAAAAGATGCACTTGGAGTATCAGTCTAATTTAGGGGATTTTATAATTGAATCCAGATTGTGGTTTTGTTGCTGCATCTGGGTAGCTGGCTAACCAATACAAACACAAAATTCAAACTCATTAATGACAATTTTCTCCTCAGTCTCAGCTGGAGTGAGTTGTGCCAATCAGCTTGTGCAGTAGGACTCCTGTCTTTAATTCTTGTGTTATGCAGTATATGAGTATCATCCACAGGGAATATTATGGTTTCTTGATCCAAGTAATAGATAATCTGGCATTCTGAAATTTGTTTCAGGCAAGTGGCAGATGGATTAAGGTTTTAATGCTGTGTCCTACAGCTCCAGGAATATCACCTGCAATAGGTCACAAAAGAGCAATGTCTCTCTTGTGGGCAGCATTTTCTCTGTGCACCCCATACTGATCTGTGGCTACACTGCATTCTAAACACTGCATCTCCTTTTCTTGTGTGTGTACATGATCAATACAAGAAACCTGAAAAACAGACAGGCTGGTGTATCAGTTAGCAAAGGCAAGGCTGACAGCATGCCTTCCACGCACCCAAAAGGCTGCTTTTAGATCCCTGACCTTCAGTGCTTTGTTTAAAAAACACTCAGTATGCATGAGAAGCTGGGAAGAAAAGGTGCAGTACTGAAGCATGCATGCCAAATTCTAATGTGTATTCATAGCTGTGTTGGGATTTTGGGATGTTCAGAATTGAGGTCTGTTGCTCTGACCAGTGGTAACTTCACAGATGTCCGTTTCCTTTAATCTCCTGCACTCTGCCCAGAATTGATACAATACCCCAGAAAGAAGAAAAAGCAAGGCTTATTATCCTCCTATAACTGGCAAACTAAACCAATCTAAAAAATATCCTTGTCTTATCTTATGTGCCTGTTTTCTTAAGTCAGATTTTCTTTATTCCGTTTTTTACTTGTCTTTTCAGTGTGTCTGTTGTTCACTGTGTTTTTGTTGTAGCACAGCATGGTCCACATTTGAGTTCTGTGAGAGCGGTAGTTGCTCTGCTTATTAAAAAGCCCTGCTTTTGGTTACCCACGCATTGTCGTGACACTCTGGAGTAATCTCACTACTAAGTGAGATGTTTTTTCTCTACAATCCAGCTTGTGATGTGTTGCAAAAACCTTTGAGACAGAAAACCCTTTTTAAGACTTCCCCATCTTGCTATTTCTGTACTTCAGAATCACAGTTTTGATTGATGGGAATTTGAAAAATGTAATCTAAATCTATTAAAAAGTCTTTACAGAACTGATGTGCACTATATAAGAAGGTAATGCTTTATATCGAGTTTCTAGTACCCACTTCTCAGTAACGTTTGCTAGGACTTACTATACTTACTATAAAGTCTGCAAAATGTGTAAACTTAGAAATCAGGCTGAAAGTTTTGAGTATTCTGTAGTATGGGCTCAGCTACATAGGTTCAGTGTAGTATGAAGAATGTTTATGAGTACAAGGCTGTAGAGAATCTAATGCTAGAACCCTTTTGCTGCCTGTGTTTCTGTGTTGTTGATATTTTAAGCTATTCTTTCCTTGACATTCATTGATTAAATTAATTTTAACACTGTTGTGCAATCTGAAAAAGAAAATAACAGTGACATACAGTAGATGCAGTAAAATCTGTACTGAACTGGTAAATATGACAGAGGCACTCTGAGCTGTTTTTATAGAAACAAACGTTTTCTTCAAATTCAGTGTATTAAGTATTTAGTGTAACCTATCTTCTTTTTATAATAATAAGAACACTAGATTCATAATGACGAGCATGAACACACTGAAAACCGATATCCCTATTGGTAATGTGAGCTCTCCAATATCAGGAGAATTATCCTTTGAATAGCAGTTTAATCCCAATTAAAACAAGTGAGTAACCTGCATTTAAGCAAATACTAGCTAGTAATTAACTTACTATGAGCAGAGTTGCATGGACATATGTATGAAGTTCATATTGTAATATTGTAAATAGATTTCCTGGTTTAATCAGCTGAATTTATACCAGAACCTGCTTCCAGTATAATCAGAAATGTGTTAAACATTCACTCAGGATGAATGTTTTCCTGCATATTTAAAGAGTGTATAACTCCAATTTGAGGGATCTTTACACAGGAAGCAAAGTATTTGTGCTTTACTATACATTAAATCCAGTGGCCATGCATAGCCTGAGCTATTCAGTCTCCCAAAGTGAGGAG